GGCGGCCCGGCCGTGCCGGTACATGGCGGAACACCACCACCACCCACCCCCCACCCCGGGCTTCGCCTCGGCCGCGCCTCACCTCAAGCCGGCGCTTCTACTGCGCCTGCGCGTCCGCTGCCGGGTCGGGCTGACTCCGCCCACGCCTCGCCCCGAGGCGCAGGCGCGGTAGGCGGGAGATGAGCGACGCGCATGCGCGGGGAGAGGGAGCGGAGAGCGGGGCGGTGGGGAACGCGCCGGGGAAGGTGACCGGGCGGATGCGCAGGCGCGGTGGGCGGGAAGCCGGAGGGACGGGCATGCGCAGTCGTTCCCCCCACCAGGCGGCGAGGCCCATTCATTCTCCGTTGGCGCGGGGCGCGGCCCGGAGGGGGCGGAGCCGGCTCGCCGGCAGCCAATAGGAGAGAGGGCTCTCCAGCGGGGGAGGAGGGGCGTAACCCACGCGGGGCGTGACTTACTAAACGTAAGAGCCAGGTCAGCGGCTGTACAGCTCCGAGCGCGCGGAGCAAGGGGCGGCGCTGAGCGAGGCCACGCCCTCCCCGGCGGTGACATCACCCTCCAGCGGTGACATCACCCCCCCAGGACCCCACATCACCAGAGACCCAAAGCTGAGAGTCACCATTTTTATTGAAATGTAACCAAAAAGGGGAGGGGAAGGGCACCCCCCCCCGGGGCCGTGGAGTGGGGATGGGCACCCACGGGGGCTGTGGGGGGGACACGAGGACCCATGGGGCAGGGACATGCACCCACAGGGGCTGCGGGGGGGGGAGGATGAGCACCTATGGGGGCTGTGGGGCAGGGATGAGCACGTGTGGGGTGGGGACGGGCACCCACTGGGGCTGGGGTTTGGGGGGGACGGACAGGCACCCATGGGTGCTATGGGCCAGGAACTGGGACCCCCCTGTGGGGTTGTGACAGGCACCCCCGGGGTGAGGAGGGGCACCCGTGGGGGCTATGGGGCAGGAACTAGCACCCACTGGGTCTGTGGGGCAGGGGCAGGCACCCCCGGGGTGAGGAGGGGCACCCGTGGGGGCTATGGGGCAGGAACTAGCACCCACTGGGTCTGTGGGGCAGGGGCAGGCACCCATGGGGTAGGAACAGGCACCCATGGTAGCTATGGGGCAGGAATTGCCCCCCCCCCCAGTAGGGCTGTGGGGCAGGGATGGGCACTCAGAGGGGCTGTGGAGTGGGAGCAGGCACCTATGGGGCAGGGACAGGCACCCCCCGGGAGCTATGGGGCAGGAAGGG